AAAAAAAAAAAAAAAAAAAATTTAAAAATGGGGTTTTGGGGTAAGGAAAAGAAAAGTACTATAAACCAGGCATGGTGGCTCACATGTGTAATCCCAGCACTTTGGGAGGTCCAGGCCGGTGAATCACCTGAGGCCAGGAGTTTCAGACAAGCCTGACAAACATGGAGAAACCCCATCTCTACTAAGAATACAAAAGTACCTGGGTGTGGTGACACATGCCTGTAATCCCAGCTACTCCCCAGGCTGAGGCAGGAGAATCTTGAATCTGGAAGGCAGAGATTGCAGTGAGCCGAGATTGGACTACTGCACTCCAGCCTGAGCAACAAGAGCACTACCCCATCTAAAAACAAACAAACAAAACAAAACAAAAAAACTACTATGTAGGTCAGGTATGGGGGCTAATCCCTGTAATCCCAGTACTTTTTTTTTTTTTTTTTTGAGATTCCTAGGTTCAGGCAATTCTCCTGCCTCAGCCTCCTGAGTAGCTGGGATTACAGGCACGCGCCACCATGCCCAGCTGATTTTTTGTATTTTTAGTAGAGACGGGGTTTCACCATGTTGACCAGGATGGTCTCGATCTCTTGACCTCGTGATCCAACCGCCTCGGCCTCCCAAAGTGCTGGGATTACAGGCTTGAGCCACCGTGCCCGGCCAATCCCAGTACTTTTAAAGGCCAAGGCAGGAGATTCCTTTAAGACCAGGGTTTGGAGACCAGCCTGGAAACCCCGTTTCTACACACACAAAAAAAAACCCAAAAAGAACCTAGCTTGATGCCTCATGCCTGTGGTTTCAGCTACTCAGGGTGCTGAGGTATGAGGACTGCTTGAGCCCAGGAGGCCGAGGCTGCAGTTAGAGATACGCACTGCACTCCAGCCTGGGTGACAGAGCCAGATCCTGTCTCAGAATATTAATTAATTAAAAGTATTATGTAATAACAGAAAGTGATTTTTTTCACTTCACTCCACCACTTCCTACCCCGCCCTGGGAAAAGAGAGTGACTCACAGCTAAATAAGTCACTGCCCTCTCGCTAGAGATTCCATGTGGAATCTAACCTCCGATGCCAAGATTTATAGAATATATATGTCTTAGAGATAGGAATTTTTAAATCCTCAATCTCATTTGTATAATTAAATAAGTTTATTATAGACACAGAAGTCAATATGTCACAACTAATCATATCCAATAAACTCACCCACTCATCTGAACCCAAAGTCATTTGCCATTTTTTTTTTTTTTTTTTTTCCACGTGTTCAGGTTTATTGAGGACATTAGGGGCTACAAGGGAGCCCTGGGCATCGGAGGACAAGGCCTGGCATTTGCTGGACAGTGAGTGGCCCAGCCAGCGGCCAAGGATGGGGTCTCCACCACCTGGTTTACTTGAAAGTGTGGCTCTCAGCTCCACCCCGCCCAAAGCCTTTAGGCCCAAACATGGCTGCGTAGCAGGGATGGTTGCAGTAGGGTTTGCCTTCGTGCTCAGCGTGGCCGCCGGAGGTCAGCGTCTTCCCACATTTCTCACACTTCAGGCAAAGGCCGATGCCAGTCCTTGCCCAGAGAGGTCACCCTCTCGGCGAAGTACACCTCCTTGTTGCACTTGGGGCACTTGGGCATGGCAGCTCCGGGTGGTGGCGGCTGGGGCGGGAAGGGCTGCCGCCATTTTTTTTTTTAAATGGAGTTTCGCTCTTGTTGTCCAGACTGGACTGTAATAGCGTGATCTCGGCTCACTACAACCTCTGCCTCCTGGGTTGATTCTCCTGTCTCAGCCTCCCCAGTAACTGGGATTACAGGGCCCGCCACCACACCCAGCTAATTTTTTCATATTTTTAGTAGAGTCGGGGTTTCACCATGTTGGTCAAGCTCATCTCGAACTCATGATCTCAGATGATCCACCCACCTTGGCCTCCCAAAGTGCTGGAATTGCACACGTGAGCTACCGTGCCCAGCCCCCCCCACCCACTTTTTTTTTTTTTAAGACAGGATCTCGCTCTGTTGACCAGGCTAGAGTGCAATGACATGATCTTGGCTAACTGCAGTCTGGACCTCTTGAGCTCGAGACTGCTGCCTCAGCCTTCAGAGTAGCTGGGATTACAGGTGTGCACTGTCACACCCTGTTGATTTTTTTCCTTTTTTTTTGGGGCAGAGATGAGGGTCTCACTATGCTGCCCAGGATGGCCTCGAACTGCTGAACACAACCAATCCCCTTGCCTCAGTCTACTAAATTGTTGGGATTACAGGTGTGAGCCACTGTGCCCAGACCCTTTCTTCGTTACTGTTTCCCTCTCTCATTCTGTACATATCTCTCGTTCTCCTCTTCTCTCTCTAGCTCTTGTCTGATGTCTAATGAGGTGTGAACGTGAAGTAAAGGCTCTTCCACAATCATGGCACTTGTGGAGTTTCTCTCCTGTGTGAATTCTATGTTTTGCATAAGATGAAGCTTGACTGAAGACCTTGCTACAATCATGCCATTTGTAAGGTTTCTCTCCAGTATGAGTATGCTGATCAACTGCAAGTTATGACCAATGTCTGAACAATTTGCCACATTTATTACAATTGTAAGATCTCCCTTCATTATGGATTCTCTAATAATTTGCACTGGTTGTATCTTTACAGAAGACTGTGAGAATCATTACATTAATAAAGCTTCCCTATACCATGGATCCCTTGATGGTGGGTGAGTGTTGACTGCACATTAAGGGCTTTGCCATACTCATTATATTTGTAAGATTTCTCTCCAGTATTAACTCTCTGATGTTGCCACACTGATTACACTTGTCGGGTTCTCTCCAGAATGAATTGCCTTATGAACCACAAGGGCTGAATTTCAAGTGAAGCTCTTGCCACACTCATTACACTTCTAAGGTTTCTCTCCAGTATTAACTTTACAACGGACTACAAGAGATGACATCTGCTACAGTTGTCAAGACCTGAAGGTCTTGCCACACATTATGTGGGAAGAAAGTTGCCCAGGTGCCAAGGCAAGAGACTGAAGGCACGATCTGCCCCAGTATAATAAATGATTACTTAGTTTTACCTATGATACCAAATATATTTAGAAAGAATCGCATAATCAATTACATAAACAATCCTATTAAATCATTATTATTAATCTTTGGTTCAGTATTATAGCACAGAATCACTTCAGTCACATAATATGGACATAATCAGGTGAAATGTAATTAGGAACGGAAGGGACATTGCGAGAAGTGATCAGGAGGGGAGAGTGCCTTGCTGCAGTGTCAGCAGCTGGGAAAGTGACCTCTACTTAGCAGGCCGCGGAAAGGGAGTTTCTTTTTTATTGGGGGACTTCAGAAAACCTTGAGTCTTGAGGAAGGCCTGATATTGGTCAGGCCAGCCTGCAGACATCCAGGGGCTTTTTTTTTTTTTCTGAGAAAGAATTTCACTCGTTACCCAGGCTGGAGTGCAATGGCGTGATCTTGGCTCAGTGCAACCTCTGCCTCCTGTGTTCAAGCAATTCTCCTGCCTTAGCCTCCCAAGTAGCTGGGACTACAAATGTGAGCCACCATGCCCAGCTAATTTTTTTGTATTTTTAGTAGGGACAGGTTTTCACCATGTTGACCAGGATGGTCTTGATCTCTTGACCTCATGATCCACCCACCTCGGTCTCCCAAAGTGCTGGGATTATAGGTGTGAGCCACCGCACCCAGCCTCCAGGGGCTTAAATGTCTCTGTGGTGCTGTGGTCCGATGGTCACCATCCTTGTCCACTTTCATGTTCCGCTTTCCCACCTGGTGCTCTTTTCAAGTTCTTAGAAGTCATGAGAATAGCGGAATCCTAAAAGCCTTTGATCTTTCTGACAAGCACATAGAAAGATGCTGAAGTGTGTGCCTCCCCTCCTTGCAGTGGCTACCTGAAAGGGAGGGCCCCCTGTGCTATAAGCATGTGATTTGCTTGACCCTATCAATCATGTCAGATGATTCACTCTCTTTACCCTGCCCCCTGCCTTGTATACAATAAGTATCAGCACGTCCAGGCATTCGGGGCCACAAGTGGACTCTGCGTCTTGGTAGTAGTGGTCACCGGGGCCCAGCTCAACTCTTCTCTTCTGTGTCTTGTGTCTTTCTTTCCTTTGATCTGTCTTCTCTGCACACAAAAGAACACCCAATAGACCTGGTGGGGCTGGACCCTGTAGATTACACTTGTAAGGTTACTCTCCAGTATGACGTCTATGATGGTAAGTAAGAGATGACACCTGAATGAAGGTCTTGCCATACTCATTACAATGATAAGGTTTCTCTCCAGTATGAAGTCTACAATGGCTTACAAGGGATGACAACTGAATGAAGGTCTTGCCACACTCACTACATTTGTAATGTTTCTCTCCTGTATGATGTCTAAGATGACATACAAGGTTTGCTTTTTGATTAAAAACCTTGCCACATTCATTATACGTGTAAGGTTTCTCTCCAATATGAACACTCTGATGTTGTGCCAGGTGTGAATCACACCCGAAAGCCTTGTCACAAACCTTACATTTGTATGGTTTCTCTCCTGTATGAATTATTTTATGTTTTTCAAGGTCTGATTTGCGACTAAAAACTTTGTCGGGCCGGGCGCGGTGGCTCAAGCCTGTAATCCCAGCACTTTGGGAGGCCGAGGCGGGTGAATCACGAGGTCAGGAGATCGAGACCATCCTGGTCAACATGGTGAAACCCCGTCTCTACTAAAAATACAAAAAATCAGCTGGGCATGGTGGCGCGTGCCTGTAATCCCAGCTACTCAGGAGGCTGAGGCACGAGAATTGCCTGAACCCGGGAGGCAGAGGTTGCGGTGAGCCAAGATC